TAAGAAGACCCCCCCAGCGTCAAGGACCAGAGCAGCTCGGCCCCACGGAGGTTTTCCAGCCCACCCAGGGAGCGAAAGGACCCGCCAGACGCCCACTAGGAGCGGCCTCACGTTCGGCTCCCGCAGAAGGACGCACCTGACTTTGGTGGTGAACTGCACGCCGGTTTTGATGACCAGGGGCCGATCCGGGTGCATGGGCATGCAGGGCTGCCGCTCCACCACGAAGGCGCGGGGTCACACTCAGACAGGTCCTGTGTCTCCCCCCGCCCCCCCGGCGCCCGCCTCAGGACACCCCCGGGCGGCGGGAGCAGCTCTTCGTCCTCATGGCCCGGTACCTCGTCATGAGATTCCTGAACAGCTCCACGATCCTCTCCTCCAGCATGGGCCGGTGCTGGACAATCGGGTCCCCTTTGTAGGAGACTTTCTGCTGCAGCTCCTCCAGCTTCTTGATCTGCTGCCGCGTCTGAAGCTGGGACTCTGCGAGGGACGTGATCCTGGAGGGGAGGAGGAGCCAGCTGAGAGCCCCACTGACTAGCTCAGCCCATGGCAACCCTGGGCGCCTGAGCCCCTATGAACGGGAGTGGCGCCCCAGGCCTGCGTCTATTGCTTATGGAGCCCCGACTCTTCACAGCCGCCTTGCGAGGGGGCTGCGGGGGCGCAGGGACCCATTTGCCTGTCGAATCGAACACCGGGAGGTCTGGGGGTGTTGGGGCTGAGGAAATACCGGGGGCAGGAGGAGGGGGGCCGGGACAGATCTGTTCCTGGCGGCTTGAATTCAAGCAGCACCCATCTGGCTCTCCGCTCGGGAGCGCCCGTGGCAACGGGCCCTGCGGTCTCACCAATTTTCCAGGCGGTCTAGGCAGATGTTGGGAGGGCCCCCGATACACGCGATCTGCTGCCTTCTCTTCCAGTCCGCCAGCTCCTCGTCCGCCAGCGTCTTCTGCACGTACTCCATGGCCGACAGCAGCCCGGCCAGCTCGCTCACGATCCCCTGCCAAGGGGAAGAGACACTCAGGTGGCGCCTCAGCCCGGTCTAGAGCTGGGAGACCCAGAGCGGCACAGGCTGCGACTGCCAGCCCCCGATCCCGGAGCCGCTTCCGCGCTATTACACGGGGCGGTTCGCCAGGTGCTCCTAACCAGCCCCGCGCCACGGCATCGGAGCACTCCCATGCTGAACGAGGGCAGACCTTGGAGCGCCCAGCGGGGGGCAGGGCGTCCAATCGCTCAGCTTGGACAGCGACACCGGACCCTGAGCCATGGTGCATACAGAGCAGGGTGGGGAACCAAGCGCCCATGGCTTGGATCTGGCCCACGAAGCCTGTGGCTCCCCCAGACCCCAGCGGGAGCACCAGCCCCCGCTCGCCCTGCTGCGGGGGGGAGGGAGCCCTGGGCCTCATGGCCCGACCAAGGCAAGCTCTTTTCATCTTGTGCCCGCCGGGGCCGGGTGATGAGCGAGCCGTGGGCAGACGGACGGCCGAGGGGGGCCCCGTACCCTGCGCATCTGGTCCAGCGCCGTCAGCATCTGCTCCAGCTGCTGCATCTTCTGCCGCGTCACGGACTGATTGTTTCCATTCAGGTCCTGCATATCTTGGGGGGGGAGAAGGGGGGAGAAAGGAGGGAAAGGAGAGCCAGTTCCTCACCAGACATGCACCCGCCAGCACAGAACACCCAGCACCACCCCCTCAGCTCCCTGCCCAGCACAAAGTGCCAGGCTCGTGAGCCATCTGTCTAGCCCCCCCCCCAACACTGGCGTGTCTAAGCACCCCCAGCATCACCCATACCATCCTCACAGCCCCTGGTCAGCGCTGGCATCCTCGCTGCCCCCCGGGGCCCAGTGACCGTCGCGCCCGGCTGCATGGCGGAGGCCTCAAGTCACAGCGAGTCTGAGACCGAACCGGGGTCTCCCGAGTTGCAGGCCGGTGCCCCAGCTCACCCCAGGCACGGGGCAGCGACAGCTCAGAGGCCTCGCCAGCTCCCTCCTCCTTCCCCTCCGGCCAGGCACTTGCCCCTTTACCTCCTTGGCTTTTCAGCGTCTTGTAGTTGAAGTCGAAGTCGTCCTGGAGATTCTCCACCACTTTCATCTTTTGCTCCAGATCCTGCAAGCCCAGGAGCCGGGGTCAGCTCAGGGCAGAGGCTCAAGCACATTCAGCGGGATTTGGAGGGGGGGGGGGCGGGGGGCCCCCCGGGC